AGAATGTCGTCTAAATAAACGATAACAAAGACATCCAGAAAAGTCTCTAAAAATATCATTTACAAAGTGTTGAAACGTGGCCGGAGCATTACACAGCCCGAACGGCATGACCAAATATTCAAAATGGCCGAAGCGGGTGCGGAAGGCCGTCTTCCACTCGTCCCCCTCCCTTATGCGAACCAAGTTGTACGCCCCCCTCAAATCCAGCTTTGTAAAAAACCACTGCTGTTTTTAAACTTTGGAACAACTCTGGCACTAACGCAGTGGGTCACAACAGTTCTTTATATCGTGACCCTGTTCAATTCCCTGTAATCTATACACGGCCTTAAGGTTTTGTCCTTTTTTTCAACTAAGAAATTCCCGCCCCCGCCGGTGAAGTGGAGTTGGCGGATGAACCCCTTCTGGAGACTGTCATCGAGATACTTCCTTTAGGGCCCCCCAGTTTGAGCTCTGAAAGGTTGGGAAGATTCGCTCCCAAAAGGAATTTCTGAACCGTGTAACAGGTCAATTGGGACAGTCATATAGGGCGGTGGGGGGGTAGTAGAATCGGCTCCCCGTTTGCTGAACACATCTAGAAACCCATGGTTTAGACTGCAGGGATTACTTGTTTTTAGTTTTCAGCTTCCCCCTCAGAGCACAGGAGGATTTGGGGGGATCCCCGGGCCCGAAGTGCAGGCAGTATACCCCCAACAGTATGGGGAAATCGGAACGAGTTTACTCCGGTTTTTCCCAGTCAATCTGGGGGTTATGGGCCCGTAACCATGGGAGCCCCAGAATGACTGGGAAGAGGGGTGAAGCAATAGCGTCCAGGCGACAGGAGGTGTTCCTGGTGCTGGCCGGCAATGACAGTGGTGATAAGGAAGGGGGTTTCCTGGTTCACTACCCCCGATTTAGTATTCGGGGGAACCGTCGGCCAAATAAATATTGAACCCTTCTGTTTAAATTGGAGAGGAATACCCTGCTGGTGAGCAAAATTAATGTCCAAGAAGCAGCTGCATGCCCCCAAATCAATTAGGCCGATACTTCCACGGTCCTTTCTGGAAGCTGAAAGGAAAGGTGCACCACTAAGTATTTGGGATGGACCAACATTGCCAATGGATAAGGAAGAAAGAGGTGCACTTACTCAGTTTCTGCGGGCAGGATCGATTACCGTTACATATGGCCAGCTTCACCACAGTAAGGCACAGGTTCTGGGAATCGTCTGCGCTGATATTACCTCTGGAGATAGTTTAGGACCGTGCCAGGCCGAGTTGTCATGGTTCAGGGATATCCTCCAGGTGGCCGGTTCTGGACGTTTGGCCTAGGGTGCTTGACTGGGGACTTGAAAAGACCCCCAGGAATTTCCTTGACCCTGGCCGGACCTCTCAAACCTGCGTTCCCGCAGTCTAACCGGTCAATTTTTAATGGTCAGTGCTATTAAGTCCTCTAAAGTCTCAGGCACCTCCACCCGGCGACCGAGAGGTGCGCTCATCCCTTCAGACCTATCTGTATGCCAGGTGCGCTATACGAGAACTGATGCAGCGAGTGCGCATTCGTTCCTGCGTGTGTCCCCCCCATCCAGCGCGCTAAACTCAGACTCGTACTCCTCCGCCGCTCTGGCGGCCTTTGCCGGAGCGTGTACAAAGTAGCCATCAGCAGAAGCTGCCCGCTGTGCGGGTCATCATACAGGATGGCCATTGCGTCAAAATAAAATAATGTCAACCGAACTAAGGTGAGGGTCATTTTTTTCTTCCCCGTAATCGGTGGGCCCCAGTCTTGGGGTTCCACCCCATGCAGGAGGGAGATGACGAGCCCCCACCTTCATGGATTCAGTCACGATGGTCCGCGGGGTTGTAACTCAAAATAAAGATGGACAGGACTACACGGGAATTGACCTGAAGCGTGTGCGGTCCCCGTGCAAAACGTTCCTCGGTAAGGGTAACTCGGGGGTTTCGGTCCGCCGCCGGGAGTGGTCGCGGAAGCCCAGAAACCAGCACAGGCGGGCTGCTACGATCTGGGGGTGCGGGTTCACGCGCTGGCCTGTGGGCGAAGGAACCGGAACTATAGTTGCAGGTCTGGCAATTGGGTTATCAATCTGCTGGCATCTATCATCGCAGTGGCCGATACGGCTCTGAGTCAAATTAGACATGTGCCTGCAGATCTCCTCAAGCTGGCGAGGGCCCTCCTCTAGACTCAGTCCATGCCTTTCTGGTACTGTAAGGACCCCTCGCCTGGCTGGCTTTACCCACTAGCCACTCCAAATGAATAGGCGTCCCCAGCGCACGGAATCTAAGTCACAGGGTGCTTGTTCACCAGGCCCCTGATGGTGGGGATGGACTTGGAGCCCCCCTGAGACCAGGTCGTGGCTACTGGGTGCGTCCGGCAGGCAGTGGTAGTGGTATGCTGCCAAGGGCTCCGGCGGGGGGAAGAGTCTGATGTGAGGAGGTCAGAAGACCCCACTGCAAGGGATGGACCCTGCTTGGATGGATGAGCAAGGTCAGACGGGCGGTCTGTCGGTAACAGAGAGAACGGCAAGGTACAAGGCAGCGGGCATAGAATGGTCGGTGTCCACACGCCAGTGTCAGCAACAGCAGGTCAAATCCAATCAGGGTGGCATTCAAGAGAGAGGTCAGGCATAGCAAGGGTCAGGATATAGGAGAAAACTGCAAGGTCAGGTACACCATCAAGGGTCACAACTTACAATTCACAGGTTCATCAGGTTCTTTCACAGGATGCAGGGAAGACCAGAAGGCACTGAATGACAGCTCAGGGCCATTTTAATATCCCGCCCTGCACTCGCCATTGGTGCCCAGCGGGCGGCCGCGGCTTCTACTGCGCAATATTTGCGCGAACTCGAAATGCCGCGGCCAAGACCGGACCTAGTGCCGTCGTGTCCCTGCACAGGGCCGCGGGTGCACTACAGCGCTCTGCGCCGGGACACATTCGCGGCGGGGATCGGAGAGATCCCTGACAGGGGGACAATACCGTAACAATACAGTTCAATATAAAAGATGGGATTTGAGGGCTGATCTGGGAGCTTACAATCTAGGAGGGAGGGGGTGAGTGGGTACAATAGGTAATAAACTGTGGGGGATGGACAGTGGTTGGAAGAGTAGAGGATTCCAGTATTAGCAGAAGGGCGGGATAGGCTTCCCTGAAGAGATAGGTTTTCAGTGATCGCCTAAAGGCAAGTAGAGTAGGTGATAGTTGATAGATTGGGGTATGGGGAGTTCCGAGGATGGGTGACACCCTGGAGAAGTCTTGGAGAACGAGCATGGGAGGAGGAGATAAGGGAGCTAAGAGAGTAAGAGGTAATGCGGCAGTGTATGGTTTCAGGTGATATTAAGAGATAAGATCGGTTATGTAAATTGGGGCAGTGTTGTGGATTGGCTTTTATATTGTCATTGTTTAGTGATTTGAATTTTTTTTATCCGTTGAGGCACCTGCGGGAGGCCATGTGGATGGTGATTGGGCAGAGAGGGGTGGCAGTTACAGAACTGTGAGTTGTGAGGTCGGGATGAGTCTTTGGGCAGCAGCGTATCATGATAGCCTGTGAGGGCGGTGACTAACCTTCTTTGTGATAGGACTGCGTCGCATGGAATAAATACATCAGAGGAGTGCAGTAAAGATACGAAGTCGCACTTACATTTGTCTGATGGGAAGAAGTTGGGCCAATAAAAAGCTGTTGAGCCTCATTTAATTCTTTCACTTTAGATTTTATTTGGACATCTGCTTTTGTCCATTTAAGCATTTTCTCCAGATATGTATGGAGGCCTGTATTGAAAGGACGGGCATGTTTGCCCCAAAAAAACCTGCTAGCTGTTTTATATGCTCACCTTCATGGAGCAATTATATAAGTAGTTGGGTTCTATTACAACCAACTGTCTATCGGCCCCAAGCACAAATAGCTTTAGTGTACAAGTACCGGGCTAAGTCTTTACCCGTTTGTATAGTGGTGTGAATGTATGGTAGCTGCTGGGGTGATTAGTTGGCTGTTGGCCTTAGTTAGGCAAGTGAGCGGGGCCTAGTGAGCTGCACATTGCATTGGGGTAATAAAATTCCCTTTACTTGCCGAAACTTGTTGACACCGAGAGTTTGTGTCAGGACGATTCGATGCAGCATTGGCTCTGAGCACTCTCGATACGTATCACATTGGACGTGTTTTGGTGCCTCAATCGCCATGTTGTTGGGAGTCACTGATTTCGATTAAGCAATCACCAAAACCTTGGGTTTATTGTTAGCTTTCGCGGGGGATCCGGTGGTCAAGGGGTATCGACGGGTTTATTATTGACCCTCTCTTCCTATGACTGTTTCTGCTCTTTGGCCCCACAAAAAAAAGAAAAGAAACAAAAAAAGAAAAAAAAAGAATAAAGAAAAAAAACAAACAAAAACAAAAGAATAAGAAACAAAACAAAAAAAAAAATAACCAACAGAATGGCTGCTAACACAAGCAGGATCATGTAATGCAGAAATTACATTAAGAATAAAAGGAAAGCAAAAGATAGAAATTAGATAACCCACCTCAGAAAAAGCATATGGCGACCATGTCGCTTTTATGCAACATTGACTTAGGCTCAGAGTAGCTTCCGAATGCGCTTTACAGCTATAGCTCCGCTTGACTCTTCCAGGTTTTGTTGATCAATCCAACTGGGTCTTGGACCAAACCAAACACAGAGCACAAACTTTAGTATTCACCTACTTTGACAGGAAGCCAAGCCATTTTCCTAGACGCTTATCACTAACAATTGGAGAACAGCATGTGTGGCCTTGCTTTATTAGCAAGCAACAAAAAGAAGGTTGACCATTGGCCAACTAGGCTGCCTAAAACTCGACGTGCTATCATAAAAAAAAATTAAAAAAGAAATCACAGGGACATGTATGATGGAGAGTTGGTTTAACATTGCAGCAAGCAAAGTACTAATGAAGCACTCAAGCCTGTACCTCTCAATATGTATTTCTCACTTTGTTAGTATGTAGAGTGACGTTTTAATACGCATTTACTGTTGTCATATTGTGTATAGCGCCGGTGGTGCGGACCCTCCTGCACAGTCCACTCTCATGCTGCTGTCTTGAGGAGAACTTGTGGATCTGATTTAAATAGAGTAGTATTCTCGATTTTGTGCTTCCTGTTGGGTCGGGCACCACATGTCAAATGGATGGTACAGCTCTGTATGACTGGCGCTGCTAGTAGTGGTCAGCTAGTTAGCAACTTCGGATGAAGTAAGGGGCGGCTTTCTTTTATTGCTCAGATGAATGGTGTAGTGGCCCAGTTGATATTTCAAGTTGCGTGTTGTGATTGGTTTGTGTCAGGATGTTGTGACAGTGAAGGTCAAGTACCACAATGGTTACAATTACAATAATAATAAATATGTTATCAAAAATTGGAGAACTATACGGAACTAGGAATCTTCTTATTTATGTTTAAGGTCGTGTACTGGAGTGTCAGTGCTTCTCAGGCATCCAGGCTGTGGCCAAACTCTGTCGGCTCCGAACCACCTCGTGTCTTCCCTTGCCTCTCAGGTCAAGTGTAGAATACCTATATACCGCTGCATAGTTGTCCTGCCCCTTGACCAGCTACCCATAGTGCCTATCTGCCTTTGACAATTAGATAAACCATAGTGCCCCTTTTATTCCACTTCTAGCTCTTTCTTTACTCTTCTTCTTAACTCTTAATAGCTCTCCTTTGCCTCTCTTACGTATAACCTTTGCCTTAGCTTCACTCTTCTTCTTTCTTCTCCTTCTCCTTACTTGTTCTGTGCTATAGGTACCTGGAAAGACCTTGGCCGCCACAGTGCGTGCTTAACCTTCCATAGTACATCACTTGCAACCCCCTCCACTGCCCGCATCCTCACACAGTGACACCCTACCCCATCTAGAGTCTTCTAGAACTGCAATACATATTTTTTGTATTCCCATACTTTCATTGTGTGAGTATAAATTGTTGAGGCATGGAAGATTTTGGAAGAATTTACCAGGTCCTGGTCATATTAGGCTGATAACCACTACTATAGGTGTCACAAAGCTTACAAAGAGGCCCATTGTATGGTCTAAAGCAGAGGTCTCAAGACTTTCTAAATGGAGTGCTAGTTCACTGTCCTTCAGACTTTAAGGGGGCAAGTGGGGGTAGAAAATATCCTGGATTCAGTGGACATAAACAATGCCTCAGGCTTTGTGGTCAGTGGGAGTATAGAAATTTTATTACATAGGTCGGTGGAGAGAATAGTGCCCCATCATTGAAATCATGTTGAAAGAATAGTGTTGGTTTCAGTGGCAGGAATTATGCCCAGGGGCAGACTGACATCTCATGGGGCCCCTGGGCAATAGGGGATCATGGGGCCCCTGTGTCCTTGCACAAACACAAAAAAGCCTATGAAAAAGGTACCAGGGGCATCTCATGGGGCCCCCTACTGACCCCAGGCCCTCGGGCAATGCCCGAGTTTCCAAATGGTCAGTCTGCCCCTGATTATGCCCCACTCTTGGTGCCAATGGGAAGAATTGTGCTACAAGGGCCAGTTAAAGGTTAGCAAATGGCTCCATTGGGCCTGCAGGTCACAGTTTGGAGACCACTGGTCTAGAGGAAAAAAATGTTTTTGTATCTAGTAGCAAGCAACCAGATTCTCAGTTTCAGGTCTTCAGATAATTTGGCTGGTCTGTCCTTCAGATAGATTCTTTCTGGCATCCTGTCTCCTTTACATAGTAGCTGAAAAGTGCCAGTATTTCCATAGGTAAAGTCAAGGCTGAAAGATTAATTTCTTGAAATCTTGTCAAACTCTGTTTGCGTCTCTCTTATGTGTATTATTTTGTTTTCAAGCTTGACAGCGACGTTGGCCAGTGTGGGAGCAGCCAGTATCCCCAGCGCAGAGTGGACTGGTTACCATGCTTCTCATCCTGACGGCTGTAGGATTGCCCACCCAAGACATTAGCCTGCTTGTTGCTGTAGACTGGCTATTGTAAGTATAAAAGCTCCAATTTCTGATAATTTAGTCCTCACCAGAAACATATGAACTTACACTAATAGCTGCTACCCAAGCATTCATTTGCTTTTGTTTTTTTATCGTATTTGTGAATATTTTTTATTTATTCAAAATGATAACTCCAATAACTACAAAAAAGATTATTTCAAATGTTATTTTAATTATATTTTGTCTGCAAGCTCTAAAAAGTGGGTAATTGAACTTTTTTAAAAAAGGCAAGTTCACTGTCCGTTAGATTGTTTGGGGGTTGGACTGTGGCTGGCAGGAATAAAAAAAAATACATCAGGAGGACAAAGGCAGTAAAAATATAGCCCCAGTGCTAGAGCAAAAAAAATGCCCCTGCATCAGTCATCAGAGGCCATAATAAATGTCCTGGCATCAGGGGGAATAATAAAGGTCTCGGCATCAGAGGGAATAATAAATGTCTCGGCATCAGAGGGAGTAATAAAAATGCCTGTGTTCAGGAGTGATCAGTAGGAGTAATAGATGCGTGGGAGTTAGTGATCATTGATAGTAATAAATACCCCACTGTCAATGGGGGTAATAAATGTCCTGCCTTCAGTGGGAGTAATAAATGCGCCATTGTCATGGATCGTTGGGAACAATGAATATCTCATTGTCAGTCGGAGTAAAAAATATGCCAGCATCAATGGGGGGTAATAAATGCCCTGGCACCAGGGGGAGTAAGAAATGACCCATTGTAAGCAAGAATAATAAATTCCACAGCATCAGTGGGAGTAATAAATGTCTTGTCAGTGGTCAATAGGAAAGGCCAGTGAAAGGAATAAATACCCATGTATCACTGGCATGAATAAATACACATTATATGATCAAAAGCAGGGGTGGACTGACCATTTGAAAACTCGGGCACTGCCCGAGGGCCTGGGGTCAGTAGAGGGCCCCATGAGATGCCCCTGGTACCTTTTTCATAGGCTTTTTTGAGTTTGGGCAAGGACACAGGGGCCCCATGATCCCCTATTGCCCAAAGGCCCCATGAGTTGTCAGTCCGCCCCTGATCAAAAGTTTGTGGACACCTGATAATCTCACCTACTACAGTATACGGCAAAAAAATTATGTTACACCCCCAACTAAGTGCAAGTGTTTCCAATGAAGGTTCTTGTTAACGTTACAGCATACAGCGAAATATTAAACAACTGTGTACTTCCAACCTTGTGATGATAGTTTTATGACGTGACTGTGCCCAAAAGTCAGGTTCAAAATTATATGGTTGGATGAGCTTGTTGTGGAGGAACCTGAGTTGCCTTCACTGAGCCTTGACCTCAACCCTATTGAAAATCTTTGGGATATACCCAAATGCCTATTGTGTGCCAGACCTTCTCGTTCAACACCAGTACTAGACCTCACAAGTGCTCTTTTTACTAAATGGACCAGATTCTCTCAGACACGCTTTCCAGTGGAACCTGTTATAGCCCCAAAGTGTTGTTCACTTGTGTATCAATGCTCATGGTTTCGGAATGGCATATCTAACAAACTCGTATATTGTGGAACAATGCTCATGGTTTCAGAATGGCATATTTAACAAACTCGCATATTGTAGGTGTGATGGTCAGGTCTCCACAAATGTTTGATAATATAGTGTACCTCTATCTGAATGGGAGAAATAAATGCCCCTGTGTTGGTGGAGGTAATAAATGCCCCTGTGTCAGCGAGAGTAATAAATGCCACAGCATCAGTGGGAGTAATAAATACTCTTGTCAGTGGTAAATGGCCTCAGAGTGAGCAATAAATGCCCCTGTGGCAAAGTAACAAATTCCATTGTTTCAATGGGAAGAATTATTGCCCCTGTGCCAGTAGGAGTGACAAATGTCCCTGTGTCAGTGGGGGTAATACACTCACCGACCTCTTTATTAGGTACATCTGTTAAATTGCTTGGTAACACAAAGTGCTAATCAGCCAATTATATGGCAGCAGGTCAATGCATTTAGGCATCTAGACGAGGTGAAGACGACTTGCTGAAGTTCAAACCGAGCATCAGAATGGGGAAGAAAGGGGATTTAAGTGACTTTGAATGGGGCATGGTTGTTGGTGCCTGACGGGCTGGTCTGAGTATTTCAAAAACTGCTAATCTAATGGGATTTTCATGCACAACCAGCTCTAGGGTTTACAGAGAATGATCCGAAAAAGAGAAAATATCCGGTGAGCGACAGTTGTGTGGACAAAAATGCCTTGTTGATGTCAGAGGTCAATGGAGAATGGGCAGACTGGTTTTTGCAGCATTCAGATGGTATGGTCAGAATTTGGTGTGAACAACATGAAAGCATGGATCCATCCTGTCTTGTATCAATAGTTCAGGCTGGTGGTGGTGGTGGTGGTGTAATGGTGTGGGGGATATTTTCTTGGCAATAGCAAGACATACCTGATAAAGTGGCCAGTGAGTGTAGATGCCCCTGTGTAAGTGGTCACCAGCAGGAATAAATGCTCCTGTGTTAGTGTGGAAGGATGCCCCATCTTTAATGTCAATGGTATTCTGAACATTCCTCCAGCATAGGTGTCAGTGGCACTTACCTCTCTGTAAGCTCTATGTGCTCATAGCAATTTCTCCACCCTATACTGCCTGTGATAGATTGCAATCAGCTTTCTGTTGACTGCAATGAGAAAGCCCCACATGCATGACCTTCTCATTGCATGGGGTCAGTTTATAAAAGAAGAGAACTGTCAAAAGACCTGCATAACAAGGTAATGGAATTTTATAAAAAAGAAAAAGGATATAAAAAGATATCCAAAGCCTTAGGTATGCCAGTCAGTACTGGAAAATTTGGGGATCTCTTGATACCAAGCCAAGGTCAGGTAGACCAAGAAAGATTGCAGCCACAACTGCCAGAAGAATTGCTTGGGAAACAAAGAAAAAACCCACAGGTAACCTCAAGAGAAATACAGGCTGCTCTGGAAAAAGACAGTGTGTTTCAAGGAGCACAGTATGATGACACTTGAACAAAAATGAGCTGCATGGTCGTTGCCAGAAAGAAGCCTTTTCTGTGCCAACGCGTCCAAAAAGCCCGGTGAGGTGTGTCAAGATGTTGTCGTGCATATTGTAATCAGGATTTTGTAAGTGTACACCATGCACACAATACAACTGCATTGCGTTTATTTTGAAGACGACTGATATATTATATTTCCAATTTACGTATGTGCATGGAGAACAAGTATCTAAAAGAGAAGGCGGCTGAACTTACACACACCCTGCCCCAGGATGTGTGGCATTGCTCCATGGCTCTGGTGAAGAAGTGTGGGTTCCATGGATCCAGCCCAGATAGTCAACAAGATGACGGCAGCTGTACTTCTGCTCTTGTTAGTCCACTAGTTGCGGTGGTGACCGTAGCACTGCCTTCCTTTCAAAGTGGCTTCAGCCATGTAGGATGGGGGGACACTGCCCCTTGAGTGACTGGGGAAGACCATGATAGGTAAACAACAAGCATATTATACAGGGGAGAGTATATAAGGACGTGTTGCCAGACCCTGCTCTCCACCCCACAGGTAAAGGGTGGACCCTACACCCCCACTAGTCGGCCTTAACTTCTGCCTTGCTGAGGAAGTGATGTCACATGCTGGGGGTGTGTAAAAGAGTGCAAGGAATATATAAATACAAGCCCTCTTGGTTCAACCTTCTGCAACAGTCCCAGTTTCTCATGTGGCCTGTTGAGAACATGAATTGGTCATTCCTGTGTTAGCCCATCTCCTACCTGTAACGTCTACAGACTTGGAAAATATCTGTAAGTAAATGGATAGAAAACTGGCTAAAAGATGGTATTCAGAGAATAGTGGTTAATGATTCATACTCTGAATGGTGTAGGGTCATCAGTGATGTACCCCAAGGTTCAGTGTTGGGACCCTTACTTTTTAATATGTTTATAGACAATATAGGGTCTGGGATTAAAAATCCTATTTCAGTCTTTGCAGATGACACCAAGCTGTGCAGTGGAATAACGTCCTTACAGGATGTCTCCAGTTTACAAGCCGACCTCAATGCTCTGTGTAATTGGGCAACTATGGGGCAAATGAGGTTTAATGTTGATAAATGTAAGGTTCTGCACTTAGGAGCTAAGAATATGCATGCATCATACATATTGGGGGGGGGTACAACTGGGGGAATCAATGGTGGAAAAGGATCTGGGAGTTCTGGTAGATCACAAGCTTAATAATGGTGGTTTCTAAAGCAAGCAAAATCCTCTCTTGTATTAAAGGAGGTATAGACTCCAGAGAGAGAGATATCATTCCCCCCAGGTACAAATCATTAGTAAGACCTCATCTGGAATATGCACTTCCGTTTTGGGCTCCAATTCACAAAAAGAACATTGGGGAACTGGAGAAAGTACAGCGAAGGGAAATCGAATTGATAAGAGGCATGGAGTAGCTCAGCTATGAGGAAAGATTAGAGGAACTGAATTTTATTCTCTCTTGAGAAGAGGAGATTAAGGGGGGATATGATCTCCATGTATAATACATAAGGGGGATATGAGCTCCATGTATAATGTATAAGGGGGGATATGATCTCCATGTATAATACATAAGGGGGGGATATGATCTCCATGTATAATACATAAGGGGGGATATGATCTCCATGTATAATACATAAGGGGGGAGATATGATCTCCATGTATAATACATAAGGGGGGATATGATCTCCATGTATAATACATAAGGAGGGATATGATCTCCATGTATAATACATAAGGGGGATATGATCTCCATGTATAATACATAAGGGGGGATATGATCTCCATGTATAATACATAAGGGGGGATATGATCTCCATGTATAATACATAAGGGGGATATGATCTCCATGTATAATACATAAGGGGGGATATGATTTCCATGTATAATACATAAGGGGGGATATGATCTCCATGTATAATACATAAGGGGGATATGATCTCCATGTATATATACATAAGGGGGGGATATGATCTCCATGTATAATACATAAGGGGGGATATGATCTCCATGTATAATACATAAGGGGGGATATGATCTCCATGTATAATACATAAGGGGGGATATGATCACCATGTATAATACATAAGGGGGGATATGATCTCCATGTATAATACATAAGGGGGGATATGATCTCCATGTATAATACATAAGGGGGATATGATCTCCATGTATAATACATAAGGGGGGATATGATCTCCATGTATAATACATAAGGGGGGATATGATCACCATGTATAATACATAAGGGGGAATCAGGGGCGGACTGACAACTCATGGGGCCCCCGGGCAATAGGGGATCATGGGGCCCTGTGTCTTCACCCACACTCAAACCACACCCAAAAAAGCCTATAAAAGGTACTAGGGGCATCTCATGGGGCCCCCTACTGAATGCGGGCCCTCAGGTAGTGCCCGAGTGCTCGAATGGTCAGTCCGCCCCTGGGGGGGATATGATCAACAAGTATAAATACGTATAAATACATCAGTGGTTCATATAGTGATTTCGATGTAGAGTTATTCACCCTGAGGTCATCACAGAGGACAAGGGGGCACTCTTTACGTCTAGAGGAAAAGAAATTTAATCTCCAAACACGGAAAGGTTTCTTTACAGTGAGAGCTGTGAAAATGTGGAATAGACTCCTTCAAGAGTTAGTTCTGACCAACTCAGTGGTTTGCTTTAAAAAAGGCCTTGATTCTTTCTTAGATACACAGAATATAACTGGATACTAACATTTATAGGTAAAGTTGATCCAGGGAATATCCCTTTGCCTCTTGGGAGATCAGGAAGGATTTTTTTCCCCTGCAGGAGCAAATTTGATCTTGCTTTGCTGGGCATTTGTTTTTACCTTCCTCTGGATAAACTGTGGGTGTAGGATTACAACTTTTTTTTTTTTAATGGTTGAACTGGATGGATTTTTGTCTTTTTTTCAGCCAGACTAACTATGTAATTGGACTATGTAATTGGATTACCTGTTCTCTGATTCCTCTTTTTTCCACTCTGCCGCAGGGACCGAATGAGGACTTCTGTCAACGTCGTTGGTGACTCCTTTGGCGCCGGCATAGTTTACCATCTATCTAAGGAAGAGCTGGAAAATCTGGATAAGCACCATGCACAGCAGGAAATTGAAATGACCAAGACTCAGTCCATTTATGATGACATGAAAAACCACAGGGAGAACAATTCCAACCAATGCATTTATGCAGCGCACAATTCTGTGGTAGTTGACGACTGCAAGGTACCCTTCACCTTTATGGATATCGAGACCTGTATATAGACTGCATGCTCCTCTTTTGCATTTGCATGTACTGTGTATTCTGTTGTATGGTTGTAGTGTTTACAGTTACAACCAGCCAGGTCACCCCCAATATACTGGTTAAGACTTGGAGGGTATCATTGTAACATCCTGAAGTTTCTAGGAGAGAGTGTTCTCTAGAACTGCTACGATGTATCATGGAAGGAAAAAAAGCAGAGGCAATACATTGTGGGTGCTCGTTGATGAGATAAGGATTTGTAATTCCAATATCAAGAGTTAGGTACAACTATACAATATTTTAAAATCTATAACTGATATAATTAGTAATATATAAGCTCTCAGCAAAGCACTCTCTAAACTGGTAAGATAAAACGGCCCTCATAAAAAAAGAAAACCATGATCATCCCACTGCTCATGGGGACTAGGAAGGCTTTATCCTACCCATTTGCTTTATGCATTTTTTTGTCTTCCTCTGGATCAATTGAGGGTTTATGGTTCTGAGGATGAGGGCTTTAGTTTTATTTATTTTTGTCTTTCGGTTGAACTCAATGAGCATGTGTCTTTTTTTTTCAACCTGAATAACTATGTACTATGTACATTTAAAAAATAAAATTGATTTGAATACATCCTCATGCCTCCTAACAGTCATACACAGGGGCGGACTGACAACTCATGGGGCCCCTGTGTCCTTGCCCAAACTCAAAAAAGCCTATGAAAAAGGTACCAGGGGCATCTTATGAGGCCCCCTACTGACCTCGGGCCCTCAGGCAGTGCCCGAGTTTCCAAATGGTCAGTCCACCCCTGGTCATACACCTATGGATACTTCAAAACATAAGGCTTTTCTGTGGCCATTGTTGACCTGTGAGTATTGAGAACGAACACACCTTGTCATTGAATGATATTTTGTTTCGATGGTGCACTGGACCCTAAGGTAGACTGAGAGCAGAAGTTGAACTCTAATTTCTCTGTCAACTGGGGTACTCCAAAAAGTCCCTGGAGTAGTCTGTTGAACATTAAATAGTGCCACAAAGAATGAGTAGGCTCAGTAGAAATAAAACAGCCAACGAGTTTCTGGGTGTAAAAGCTTCACTTCATCAGGGCTTCTGTGCTGGCAGTAAGTTCAAACTTATACTGGACAACAGTTATAAAACAAATTTGATCAATGCCAAGTACACAAGCCCTGATGAAGAGGTAGTTAAGCTTCAGAAACGCGTTGATTTTGTGTTGAGAAAATTAAATTTTTATGAGTTTACTCAACCTTTGTGGATCTCTCAAAATTTTAATTATATCTAAGCAACAAATTATGATGGGTGTCTATTTTAGCACAGCTCATTTTCATATTACAACCTAGAGAATAGATCAGGTAAATTTATACTTTAAAACATCTCCATTTCATTAGGAAATCCACAACAGAGTCTGTTTACAAAACGACCCTTTAAAACACGTTTGGCAATACTTTTAACCTGCTTGATACTGTTAATTTTTTAAAAGCTCTTAGTGCTACTTTCACTTGTTACTTTTTTATGTTTGTTTAATGCTTGCTTAAAGTATATGCAAACCTTTACCTTGTAAATGTAAAACAACCTATCCAGAAAAGAAATGCAAAACATTTGTGTATACATATAAAAACATTATAAATGATTTTTTTCCCCTGTTTTATACCCAGTGGTGTGTTTACGTTTTGTGCTGCCCTAGGCAACACAAATATTGGACTCCCCCTCTCCCCGGCAGAGAGAGCCTGACCCTGACCAACACCAGACCCCCCCCCCCACCACAGAGAGATCCTTCCACTAACACACACACACCCCCGCGACAGAGAGAAAAACACTCACCTTCACAGCTCTGGCCATCCCCAGGAATGACAGTCGGGCTCTGCATACACCATCAATCAGCCTGAAACCTCTCTCACATCCCACCTGGTTACCATGCCGCATATGTCCTTCTTCCAGGGGCCAGTGCTGCCCCCTTAAAAAGTGCCACCCTAGGCAAATGCCTTGTGGTAAAAAAAAATAGCTTGATTCCCCCATCAATACAGTTAGTGTTGATGGGGGAATCCATCCTGCAGCGCTATTGTGTTCTGTTAGAGGGGAGCCTTCCCCACCAGCAGAATACAATGGTCATTGCTGATGGCTATAGCCACCAGCAGTGATCAAAAGAAAAAAATCCAACAGGCTAGTTGAACTGAAGTTGAGCAATGGATTGACTTCAGTACAAGCCTGTCCATAGATGGATGGAAATTGGCTGGTTCCTGCTAAACCAATTTGATCCATCTGTGGCCATCTTTAGACAGTAAAAAAAAACTTTTCATACTACCAAAAATGAAAAAAAAAGGTTGGGCTAGAGTTCGACTTTAAAGTTTTTTTTAGGGGAAACGCCATTGAGGTAAATGGTACATTTTCAGTGTCATACCATTCTTTATTTATTTATTACAGGTACTTATATACAGTGCCGTACATTTATGCAGCGCTTTACATATATAGTGTACATTCACATCAGTCCCTAACCCTCAAGGGGTGTACAATCTAAGGTCCCTAACTCACATTCATACATACACATACTAGGGACAATTTAGACAGGAGCCAGTTAACCTAACAGTTGGAGTGTGTGAGGAAACCGGAGTACCTGGTGGAAACCCACAAAGACACAAGGAGAACATGAACACTACAGGAACTCATCATAAAGAAGCCCCATGAAAAGAAGAAAATTCTGTGCCCCACAATATGCTGCAGAAAAATGACTCTTGCACTCTGTGTGGAAACAGCCAGCTCTCTGCAGAGGTCCAAGCATTCCCTGCTGAGTCACAGTTAGAGCTTTCCAATCATCAGGGAGAAGGAACTTTGCTGATGGCTGGGCTCTAGCCATGGTCCCATAGAGAGCATGTATACTGAGAACTTTCCATGCATTCAAAATTTATTTTAAGTATTTTTCTTAAAACTCAACTTGGGCTTTATAACAGTCCCAGAAATTTATGATAAAATGTTGATTTATTTTCACTTCAAGCCTGCCCCACAATTCATGCTATGTCATTTTAGTACCACAGAAGAGCTCAGTTGACTCAACTTTTGTTCTATCGACTTTTCAACTTGCCAACAAAATTGAAACAATATTGGCACTGTAAGTCTTCCACCCCTTGGCAATCCTCTTCCGCAAAACAATTTAATAAGAAGAAACTGCTAATTGCTCAACATGGAACAGAAGGAAGCACGTCTTTATTAAAAAACAAAAAATAAAAACAGCTAATTAATAATTTTTTTTTAAATTATAGGTATTTACATAACGCCAACAATTAACACTTTACATATTGTACATTTACATCAGTCCCTGCCCTCAAGAAGCCTACAATCTAAGGTCCCTGTCTCACATACACACATACACATACTAGGGCCAATTTTGGACAAGAGCCAGTTAATCTGCCAGCTACCTATTTAACTCGCCCTGCCAAATTACTAGCAAAAAAATAATAAAGCTCCTACTTTTTGGTCTATAAGCTCCCACAGACCAAGAATTGGTCACTACAAAGGGCTTTTAAAGCTTTAGCATAGGCTTTCTCAACTTTTTTTTTAACATGGGAAACCCTTGAAATAATTTAAGGTTTTCAGGAATTCCTGCTAATAATTTCTCTATTTACAGCTCATGGTATATTAGCATTAACAGTAAACCAGGATGTAGGAATAAATAATAAAATGATAAAATAGAAAAAAAGTTAAAAAGAATAATGAATGTGGCATACTTAGCATATTTGACACCTGGGGTTGCTCCATTCAACACAGTTGTTTTTACTCATAAAGAAATAATTTATAATGGGCAGAAAAGAAATGCAGACAGTAAAAACTGTAGTGTTGCCTCTCAATGGCGGCCAGTGGAGAAGAATCTCCTTACCTTGATGTTTTTGGCAAATAAGTGCCACCTTACACTGGTGGTAGGCGAAGTTCTCCCTTACACTATGATGTTGGTGGTCAGTGTAGTGCCCCATGACATTGGTGGTCAGTGGAGAAGGACCTTCTTAGATTAGTGGTCAACAGGAGATGGAACCCATTGTACTGGCAATCAATGGCAGAAGGGCCAATTTCACTGGTGGTCAGTGGAAGGAATGACCCCTACTCCCCTTTCAAATGAAATAGCTCAAAAATGTACTGGTGTGAGTTATTTATCCAAGAGTCAGAAACTGCTCATTGCTCAAGGAACTTCTATCAACCTCTGGAGGAACCCAAGGGTTCCTTGGAACCCTGGTTGAGAAAGGCTGCTTTAGCATATCACATACTACCAAGCAAAAGAGGCAATATGTGACAGGTGTGGACACTGATGCAGGTATCAATTAGCTTCCTAATGTGTAAATTACTTTATATATTGGTATAATTATGTTTTATTAAAGTTTATCTTCAGGCCCCTTTCACACGGGCGGTCCGATCAGACCATCCATTGCTCTCTATAGGGAGGCGGACATAAACGGACATGTGTGCATCCAATCCAATCTGCTAAAAACGGCCAGATGGGGAATCCATTCCCCATCCTTCTAGAGAATTGATCAGATGACAGTTGGATGTAAATGAACAGGCAGTCTGTTTACATCCAACTGCCCCTTAGAGGAGAGCAGGCTGTGTCCATGTCCGTTCTGCATAAGTGGAGCGGACACGGACCTGTTATCTGCCTACTCAGCAGAGAACCAATGGACAGATTTCCCGTTAAGCAGACGGATCTGCTTGGCAGAGTCCGCCTGTGTGGAAGGGACGTTACTCAAAGTCAAAACGTATGATATTACAACTTACCAGTCCTTAGCTGTGGTGGCTGCATTTGTTTTCTCTTTGCAGGCTTCTTTCCCTTTATTTTTACATGGTGATCCACTCAGTAACATGCTTTCTGTGCTAGAATGGCAACGCTTACTCTACTGTGTATGGAGAAGCGTTGTCTCTCTAAGACAGGAAATGTCTTTGAACTACAGAACACCTCACCAGTTCCTCTTCTCCATAACTTGGGGGTGTTCT